TGCCAGTGCGTTCTGCCTATTCGAAATTACACGGGAACGGAACGCACCAAGACGACTTGATTTAGAATGGCTTGAGCCAAAACGGCTTGAGCCAAAGTAGCTACGGAAGAGCCGTCTTGGGCTTGGGGGCCTTTTCGGACGTCTTGGGGCGGTCTTGGGGGCATCGTCGGCTGTCTTGGGGCGTTCTTGGAAGCTTGAGAACGCGAGAAAGCCAAACACTCAGAGAAAAAAACAATGAATATCATGGATGTTGGCCTCTTCGGGCCCTCTCGGGATGTCACTCGAAGCTCTCCTGGGCTATTGCTGGAGCCTCGTGGGGTTCCGAGGGGACTCTCAGCCCGCTCCCGCCCCCGGGCCTACTCTGACAGGTCCTGGGGCGCTCCCGGGCCGTTTGGAGCGCCGCTGTCGGCGGTGGACAAACCTCCCTTTCGTAGACCACCCTTGAAGGGGCCCCAGGACACACAAAGAAATACACACAAATAAAAAGATTCCCAATATTTTCCTATATTTTCTGGGTTTCTGTCTTCCCACCCACTTCCCATATTTTCCCATGTTTTCTGAGGCGTCGAGGATTAATTGTGTCTGTACGTTTTTTGCCCTCCTGACTTCTAGTGAAAACGGCCTAGGACCGAAACCGACGGACCTGTACCTGCAAAAATGACGGCCGCGACGCCCTCTCGCGAACAGAAAAACGGCCAATTCACCAATCGACGTGTCAGGGTGGGGGGTCTGTCCACCCCCGACTCTTGGGCATTACTGGGGCTCTCTGGAGCCGTCTCAGGCTCTCTTGGGGGCCTCTCCCGCCGGCCTGGGGCGGTCTCGGGGGCCTCTTCGGCTGCCCGGCTGCCTTGGAGCGGTGGAAGCTCGAGAGCGCGAGGAGGCCAAAACCTTTGAAAAACAACAAATGTAAATCCACGATTTTGGGCTCGCCGGGCCCTCCCAGGATGCCCTTCGGAGGTCTCTCGGGGCCTCTTGGAAGCCTTTGAGCTAACTCCTCGGCGATCCTGGGAGCCTGGAAAGCCGACGGAAGGATCTCTTGGGCTGCTTGACGACGTCTTGCGTTGTTTTTTTGTTTTCTGGGGGCTCTTTGGGGGCGGTTTGGGCCGTCCTGGGGCATTTTGGAGCCTCCCTAATAGACCCGGGGGCGCGGTACCGGGAGTGCCCCGCAGATGTTACGGAGTGTGGGACGCTCCTGGGGGGTATTTATATGTCCATATCTGCGTTAAATATATATGTTTGTCTACCTATATATAAATGCAATGTATGTGGAGCCATCTACATGGTGCAACCACAGATCCACTCCTCGCGCAACCAGCCCACCCTCCCACCCGCAACTTGGTTAACAAAACCCATGCGGGGGCGATTGCGATGAGTGCTTGGCGTTGGCTGGTGTTTATTTTTGTCTGCGGCCACGCTAGCCCGCGCATGCTGGCGCGCGACGCGGCTAGCTAGTTTGGCGCGCGGCCGCGGTGGCGCTGACCGCTGTGCACTTCTCAGCGGGCACTTCAGTGCGAGTCGGCGACTTGGGCGGGCACGGTATCATGGCAACGTCGACAACGGCAGGCACGATAATGGTAGTAGCGATGTGGCGCGAGAGGCCCCTTTAGCCGAACTGAAGTAAAATGTTGAACCACTTATGGTTCTCGAAGGAATTCGCAAGATCGCGAGCGCAAGCATCCCTGCGAACCCTCTGGGTTTTTGAATGGTTTCCGCATGCGCACGCCCACTTCGTCCCTTCTTGCCAAGGAGTCCTGCGACAGACCGCACCCGCGCAAGGGCGTTCGAGCGATTTCGACATGCGCGCGCGAGAGGCAGGTTTGGTAGCAGTTGGTGAACATGTTGAGGACCAATGGTTTTCTTAAGAATCTGGACAAATCGTGATGCGAAACCATGTTTTATGTACGTGTTCGGGACACTCGATTTCAGTCCTTACGAAACCGAGTCCCCGCCTGGCCGCGCCCCCGCTATCGAGATATCGAAATGTCGACTCCGCACCAGGCCCCGCCCCCCGATATCGAGATATCGAAACCCTGCCCGGCCCTGTGCCCAATATCGAAACCCTGCCGGGCCCCGCCCCCGATGTCGAGGCATCGAAACATCGAGTCCCCCCGACCCCTCACCAGGACGCCTTGCGACCACAATGGAAAATCCGGCCAGCGCGTGGGGCAGCCACCGGGCGGCGCCGGGCGGGTAAGTGGCCGAAGCCTGGGAGACCCGACCTGCGCTCGGGGCGGCCACGAGGCGGCGAGGAGCGGCCACCACGGGAAAGCCTGGAAGACCCAGCCAGCGTACGGGACGGCTACGGGGCAATGACGGGGAGCTTCCAGGCGACACACGGGATAACCCAGCCGGCAAACAGGGCGGCCACGAGGAGGCGACAGGCAGCCGCTTTGGCAAACCCAGGCAGCGAACGGGGCGGCCAACAGGGAGAACAATCAAGAAAACCATCACGATCACTTTCAAGGGATACCAATGCGCCTTAGTGTGAGTGCTGTTGAGTAGCGATGTCCCAGTCCGCCGATGCAGCGCGTGAGTTCAAGAAAACATGCAGCGGAAGCTTCAGCTCTGCTGGGGGAAGTGCCTGGGCGGCCCTGCCGGGGAAAGGATGGGGGGGGCCGCCCTCGAGCTTCGGCTGAACCGCCGCAACCTTGGCTTGGGCGGACGCCGTCCCACCTGCATTGTCTGTCGATGGCTCGACCTTCTTCCCAGATTGGGGCGTCGCCCCAGGCCCCCTCTTCCTGGATGCCGCGCCGCCCGACGGCGAGGCCGCAGGCTCGGCCTTGGCTTCCACCTTGACGGCCCAACCCTTGAAATAAGTGGAGGCCGGGGGGGGGTCTTCCATTTCTGGGCCGCCACAAGAGGCAGGGTGCGGGGGCGGCTCGGCCGGGGAAAGGGGGGCACGGGGGGCGGCAGCGCCACCAAGGCCGCCGTGACTGCCAAAGAGACCTCCTGGCCGGAAGGCCCAAGATGGCCCAGGGACGGACCAAGGGGAACGCCCCAAGAGGACCCCCGGGAGGGCCCCAAGACGTACAAATCAGGAATCTCGGAGTGCTTCTTTGATGCTTTTGGAGTCCTCGCCTTCTCGACCTTCACACGCTCCAAGGCGGCCCAAGAGTCCCACCAGCGCCCCAAGACAACCACCCAAGAGGCCCCCAAGAGAGCTCTAAGACGGCCCAAGAGGGCCTGGAGACGGCCCAAGAGGCGCCCAAGACGGCCCATGAGGGCCTCAAGACGGCCCCAAGAGGGGGAACATTAACCGACGATTCGAGCCTTCCGACCCTAGAGGCCCCCAGGAAGCCCAAAGAGGCCCCCAAGAGGCCCCAAGGGGCTCCCAAAAAGGCCCCCGACAGGCTCCGAAGAAGACCACAAGAGGCCCCCAAACGACCCCAAGAGACTTCACGACTGCACCAAAAGGCCCCCGAGAAGATTCCAACGAGATCCTAACGAACCACCAGAAAGCGTCGGGGCCACAACCTAGGCACGGTGCCGGGATATGCCGAAAGCCACCAGAAAAGAGAAAATAGTAATGACGGGAAGGAGCAACATACTGGGAAATATTTACGCTACGACCCTCTGAACCATCCACTAACGAGCAAACCCGTCGGGGAACTAGCACGCCGAAAAACTCGAAAGACGGACACGAGGCAAACATTCCGTTCAACACATACTGCCCCAGGCGACTGCCAACACCCTCCTCTCCCTCTTCCTCCTCCTGTTCCCCCTCCTCCTTCTCCTCATCCGCCTCCCCTCTCCTCATCCTCCCTCTTTAGACAAGCGCGTTCCAATACTCGCAGAGTAGCTGCTCGCAAATGGCCCAGATCCGCCACAGGGGATCTACGATAGATTACACAAAGGCAGACGAATGGCTTTTTGATGTTTGCGAGTAGGCACTTTGCTAGTAGTGGAACGCGCTTGGCGACTCTTGCCTCCTCGGTTAAACCCAACAACTATCAAACATGACGGGCTCACACGGAGCCCCCTGGAACGCCACGCATCGGCGGTGCAGGCCGGAGGCCTCTGTAGTACTGCTTGTGGGATATGCACGTCGTTCATTTCTAATCGTGCTCATTTCTAATTGTGCTCGTTTCTAACTGTTCCTGGCCCCCTAGTGGCCAGGAAGAGGCCCAGGACAGAATAATTAGAAATGAAAGGATCTTGGCCCCCAAAAAATCAAGGAACTCTCGAAACATTAGAAATGAACAATGATTGATGCCAACAATCCCCGGACCACAGTTTAGCTACTTGGGATGGGGTCATGGTCGAGGCTAGAAGCACAATAATACCCCAACAGACAGCAACCATCATCGCATGGTGACTGGGGCGAGAAGCTGACTTGCCCGAAGGTTCGATTTCGGCTCCCGATAACCCGTCCGCCACACTTTGACTAGTGCCGTAGGACTCGAATAAGCTCTGGCGAGAAACCATCGTAGGCTTTGGGAGGCCAGCGTTGGCTAAGAGAGCCGAGCACGTGGGTGCGGAACTCTCTTCAAGCGGGGTCTCGAAGTTTCGCGTGGCCGCTCGCGGTGGAAAGCGCGAACACGAAGCACTGCGTCGCACCGTGCACCATGGCGCAACGGAGCCCTACTCACCAAGGCCCCCTCTGCCCAAAGAGCAGAGCCCCATTCGCAGAACGCAAGCAAAGCACAGGGGAAGAACCGGACGGCGCCATAGCAACGCGCAGGCCCGATCTCACCACATTCGCGAAGCTCGAGCGCCTTGAGCTGAAGGATGCCCAAGATCGGGGCGCGCTGCTGCGTGAGATCCGTCGCCCCCAGCCTGGTTCGCACCCATGTGATCCAACATGGGCTGCTGGACAAAACATTGGTCAATCCCTCCCGATGGCGACGGCATCCCTCGCCACGGCATGGAACGAGCCGTCGCCACGCCCCCCCACGCGCACCACTCTCCAGACATGGTAGACCGCTCACAAAGCATCCTCACAATAAGCACCCCGACAAGCGAAGCCGTTTAGCGAACGCACAAAGAAAAGGAATCGATCAGGGCAAGGCTATTGAGTCGTTTATGAAGCGCTGCTTCTGAGGGCTCGGGGTGATGTTTTCCCTCCTTTGACATGGGGCAGGCTGGTCACCCTACGCATGGCCCGCGCAGCCATTGCAGATCACGCAACGAACGTTGGCGTGGCACTGCACGTCCTGCCGTTCGAAACGATCTCTGCCGTGAGCCCCGCTGTGAGGAGCTACTCCTGGGGCCGTGCATGCAATGGCAGAGATCCTTGTGCGCGGAAATCCGCACCGCGCTTCCAGAGCAACAACCCTTGTGTCTCTTTCTGGCTCTTTTTCGGCATCCACGGCCAAAGACGACCACAGTCAGGGCGCAGCATGCTTGCGGAGGACATCCACGACCAGGAACACGAAGAGAGTTGCATTTTCGACGAACAAATCAAGAACATGACGAACTGTTGGATGCAGGAATTCGAGCAAAAGCACCCTTTGCAGAAACTCCATGGCGAGCTGCGCCGTGTCGACAGTCGCGGCGATCGTCTGGGCCAGCTCGCGAGAAGCGGCCGTCGGGCCCGTAGCGTGTCGAAGCCTGGCGGCAACGCGTGCCTCCAAGTGTTAGGTCGGGCATGTCCCCCTACAGTTGCATTTTCGACGAACAAATCAAGCACCAACAAAAAATCCCCAAACATATTCAAACATATTACGCAAATCGTCCCCACACTATTTGTTGACTCTTTTTGCATATTCCTCCTGTAGAGGGCCAGGCCCGACTTAATCCAAGTGTGAGGGGCAGGGTAAGGGGGGGGGGCACCTCAGGGGGGAAACATCTGCTTGGAATCGGCGATGCCTCGCCAGCAAATTCGGCGATAGACAACCGATAGCAACACCGTGCGCTCCTGGGCGGGGTGCGCTGTGGGAGCCCTGTCGGCGATGCGTGGGCGATTGGGGGGCCGATGCATCCCCCCAATCCGAGCCTGTCCCCATCCCCTAGGGCTCCCAACTTCGCGCTTCGCGCTGCGCGAAGCGCGAAGCGCGAATAACTTCGCGCTCTCGCGCCGCCCTCCCAAAGGGAGAATAGGAGGACGAGGAGGAGGGGGAGAAGGAACGAGGACCGCGAAGCGCGAAGCGCGAATAACTTCGCGCCCTCGAGGGAGCCCTTGCATCCCTGGTGGCAGGCGGGCCATCACTCGGGCCTCCGGCGGCCGTTCGGGACGCTCCGGGCCCCCCCCCCGAGCGCTCGAGGCGAGGCGCACCTGCTGGAGAGCGTGCCGAGGCTGGCACACCGCCGAGACCCGACGAGGAGGCCCGAGAAGCTCGAAGACCGAGCCCGTCCCCCCAGACGTCGTCCCTGAAAGCGTCCTCCGCCCCCTCCTCCTCAAACCTCCTCCTCCTCCTCCTCCTCCTCCTCCTCCTCCTCCTCCTCCTCCTCACTCCTCAAACCTCCTCCTCCTCCTCCTCCTCAAACCTCCTCGTCCTCCTCGTCCTCCTCCTCCTCCTCAAACCTCCTCCTCCTCCTCCTCCTCCTCCCTGAAAGTGTCCCTGAAGAGGGTCCAGCGCGGGAGAAAGCCGATGCAGCGCCCGCCACGGGCCGCATGCAGCAGGGCAGAGTCGCCCTCGGGCGGCGCGCGGCCACCGAGCTCTCTGGGTGCTCCGTCGTTTTGGCGTCGCTGCCTGCGAGCAAGACTTAGGACAGAGGTCTGCGTCGCAGCCTGCGAATCTTAGGTCAGGAACTGGCAGGAACATGATGCAGCCGACGACAATGCACGATGAGGCTGTCGGGATGAGCGCACGAGGAATGGACCAGGAAGGGAGGAATATGAGGATGGTGGTAGCGAGGAGGATCATCAATGAAGAGTGCGTTGGATACAGATGGTGATGATAGTGATGCGTGACGCTAGAAGGCGGCAGGGACAGGACGAGGAAGAGAAGGATGCTCATGAAAAGCGAGGAGAAAGCAGGGAGGAGCCAGATCGTTTGCAGAGACAGGCGGAATAATGCGACGTTGAGGAAGAATAGGAGGCAGAGGCCGACGACGACGAAGATATGAAGAGGAGAAGAGTAGTGAGAATGAGAAACCAATGGCCAGGGAAAGTAGTTTCAAGAAAGGCCGGAAGCTCCCACCTTGCACGTAACTTCCTTGCGCCTCCAGCTCCGTATGCTCCTGTGGGGTGCCGCTGAGGCTGGAGCTGGACTTGATCGTGAAGCCGGATTGGATCGGAAACGAATCGGGTCGAGCCTAAATCAACACGGAATCGGATCGGGATCGGATGGTTTAGGATCGCTGCTCGGGCTCCGCCCCTGCAGGCTGGAGAGGGAACAGGATGGTGTCGGGTCGTCCCGGATCGAGCTCGGCATAGGAGTCGAGACTCGGGGATCGAATCGGACCGCCAGCAGCCATGACAGAGCCTTCCCTTCTCCTCCTCCTCCTTTTCCCCTTCCCGTTCTCTAGGGCACACGCTAACACGGATTAGGGGTCCGTGGATCCGGCGCGTGGGCGCCATACCCATGGATTGGGCAATGTACCCCGCAAAAGATGAGGCCAGAGCGGCATGATTTGGCGACGGAGCACGCGGAGATCGGGTGGAGACGGGACCCGTCGCTGCTCTACGCGCCTTAACCCATGGCATGTCTCCTGAATGCTCTCCATGTCTTTGCCATGTTCCTGCACCTCCTCCTCGTCCTCATTCAACCCTTGTGCTACCCATACGGCACAAGAGAAGAATAGACATCGGATAGTCGCCCTCACCGGCTATGCTCATGCATGAGAAGAATGACGCATCACTCAATATTCATGCTTTGCGAACCCCTCCTCATCCTGATCACTGATCACTGCTCCTCCTCATCCTTCCGAACTCGTTGGCTGCGCTGGCTGCAGTCAGGCGAGGCCATGTGCGGTCATCAAGAGAGGGTCCCAGCCTAGTGAACTGTGTCTGTGATGTGCGTTTACAGCCCTGGGAGGGCCATGCGCGCAATCAAACCCTTAGCATTCGCCCTCAGGTTGCTTTGAACTGATCCGGGACATCCGTGGATATTGCCTTGGCGCAAACTTTCAATCGTATGGGAAATAGTCGTGCGGCCATCCTTGGAGCTGCCCGCTTTCGGGGCAAACATAACATCGCCAACGTAGCTTTATTCCTCGCCTCGAGTGCGATGCCGGGAGGATTCGCGAAAGCCACACATCTGCAGACGCCGCGCTCCCACACATTGGACCATCAACCTCTCTTTTGCCGCGGCGCTGGCGATCGCTCAGCGCGGAAGGCCTGGCTCGGGCTGCGAAGCGGGAAACTAGCACCATGGAGCCATGGAGGCGGGGGGGGAGGCAAGGACGGCCGCGACCATCCACGACACAAAACGGCACTGCGACTGTTTTGGAGTCGTCTCGGGACTGCTTGGAAAGGCTGGGACCGGTCTTGGGAGCACCCTTGGGGCTGGCTGTGAACCTTCCCTGGGGGTGGGGGGGGGCCGCTGCGGCGACGTCCGCGTGAATACGTGACTGTGGCCCTTCCCGCCTGCGTAGAGGCGGGAAGGCAGCGCAAAGGTTTGCCCGACGGCGCCCGCACCCCTCACCCCACATCTTCGACGATGGGGACGCCAGCGAGGATGCCCTCCGAGTGGCAGGAGCGCAAGCTATCCAGAATTTCCTCGACGACTGGCTGCCGTATTGGAGCGTCCCTGTAGGCCAGGAGGGAGGACCCCATGGACTGGGTCATGGACGATGACATTGACCTCGCAGCCCTGTCGATCGGCGATTTGCAGCGGACCTGCAAGGCGTACAGCGAGGGCGCTGGTTTTGGATGGGGCGGCCTCAATCCACGAGTTCTCCTCCGGCTCCCACAGGAGTACCAGGCGGATTTCCTGGACGTCATGGTGGAGTTCGAGCGCCAGCCACGGCGGCTCGAGGCACTCCTGCCGCACGCCATGTTTTCCTGCCCAAGCCTGCTGGCGGCATCCGCCCCATCGGGCTGATGTGCCTCTCCAGCACGCTGTGTGCCGCGCGCGGTGCGCTCCTTCTTCCTCCCCTCTTTGTTAATTCAAGCTTCGCGCGGCCCGCTTAGCTTCGACCGGAAGAGGTGCGCTCTCGACCCGCGAATCAGAAAAGACTGTGTGCCGCGCGCGGGAGCAACAACATCGGGAGCCTTTCCTCCGGGGATCCGGCTCTGCGACGGCGGGCCGGCTGGCACCACCATGCGATGTCCGCCTCGAGGGGCGCTGCGGGCTTCGCGGATGCCACGGTGCTCATCGACTTGCACAAGTTCAACGAGCACGTGCGGTAGCCCCGCCTACGAGCGGCAGCCGTGCAAGTTCAGTTTCCGGCGATGCTGCTCCGGGCGCTGTGCGGTGTCTACTCGGGGAGCCGCCGGACCGCCAGATCCTGTACGGAGGCGCGGTGTCGCCCAGCCTGTTCTCCACGAGATCTGTGATTGCAGGTTGCACCGCGGCGACGGCGTTGGCCAAGCTCCTCCTGCTGGGCCCCCTCCGCGCCACGCTGCACAACCGACCCCAGCTGGCCCTGCGCAGCGTCGTAGACGACGTAGAGCTCCAGGCGCTAGGCAACCTAGCCATGGTCGACACGCCGATGGGGCAGGGATGTCCCAGCTGTTCCAGGAGACGGCTGTCCCCCGCGCTGCCACAGGCGACGCCAGCACGACGCTCGCCTCCAGGTAGAATGCGCGCGGCGCCACCAACTGCCGATGGCGGGTGCCGAACATGACGGACAAACCTGCTTCGCCTACCTCGTCAGTGGCATCCGACGTAGGCCTTGCGCCCCGTGCCCCGGGGCCCCGCGCCGATGGCCTGGCGGACGTCGCTCAGGCAAGGCGCAAGTTCAACGCGCGCCACAATCGTTGCAGTGGCATCACCTATTCCCCGCTGCTGCAGCGCGCCAGCGGGCACCTCCCAGGCAACGCATTCTCGCTGGGCGACATCAAACTACTCGCGTGCATATGCAGCGAACCACAGAACCGAACCGCGAACCACAGAACCGAACCGACCGAGGGAGAACCGACGGAACCGGAACCCGTCAGAAACCCGACGCGAACCGAAACCAAGCCGAACCGGAAGCGGTGGAACCGAACCGGGCCCGAACCGGGAACCGAACTGGGAACCGGTCGTGGAGGTGGACCCTTGGGAACTGCCCGATGCGAGCGCCCACTCCTGCGCTAGGTCCATCCCACCCGCTCCCAATTCGTCCCCTGCGCCCCCGAGTTCCCTCGTCATGTTTTGCTGCTTGTCCAGGGCCGAACTGGGGACGGAAGGGCGGCGGAAAAGCTCAAATCGCATTTTTGGACGGTTCGAAATTGCGTTTTGGGCCTCCAGGTGGTTTTCGGAGCCAAGGCTGCTCTGGGGATGGCAGGGCGGCGGAAAAGCTCAAATCGCATTTTCGGACGGTTCGAAACTGCGTTTTGGGCCTTCAGGTGGTTTTCGGAGCCTCCAAAACTGCACTGGGGACGGAAGGGCGGCGGAAAAGCTCCTGCGCGCGCCCGGTGAGGGCGCGGGCGGCGCCCTTGCCTTCCCAATTGTCCTTTGGGATGACCCATGCCAGGAGTGAGTGCTCCGTACAGTCCCAGACCGTAGTCCAAGCGTTCTTTATCCTGGCGCTGAGGAATCGCCCGCTGTCGCCAGGGCCCCCTGGTCCAGGGGGCACGATGCTGTCGACTGGTCCGTCGAGGGCACCATGCGTAACGTCTGGGCCCAGTGGCTCCCCTGGCTCGTCGGGTAGCTGGGCCCAGAGGCCCCCCTGGCCCCAGGGTTCCTCCTGACTCCTGGCTGAACTGAACCTCCAAACGCCTCCATATGATCATGTAGACGCACACGCGCACACGTCATCTGCAAGAACCGAGATCCGAAATGGAACCGGCTGAAACGGAACAGCTCCGAAACCGGAACCGTACTGAACCGAACCACTTTCCCCCGAACCGAAACGAACAGAACGGAACCGAGGACACGCTGAATCTGGGCGATGCGGCAGCGCAAACACGCCCGACGGTCGCGCAGCATCACGTCTGTCGACGACAGTAGCTCCGGGCTCTTGCGGCCGAGGAGTAACGCGACGCACTCGACCAGACAGTAGTATGTGTTTACGAGATGTCTGGGCAGAACATCCACTCTGGCAAAGTCGCGGGGTGGGCCTTGGCAGAGGAGCTACATCGCCGGACTGCTACTCCTCGCCTGAGCGAGAGCCCACTCACAACCCCCCTCCAGGTCAGACTAGTGGGGAGCTGCATCACAGTTGCGCCCGTGGACGACGGCCCACATATCAACCTCGAAGCCGCTGCAGATGCTAGAGTTGAATAGGCGATCAACAGATTCCCACGCATTGGGCGCCTTCCTGAAGGCACTTAATCGAGAGCTTGTGCGGTCTTGTCCCCTGTGGCCAGCATGTGCACCAGCGGAGCGGATCCCAAGCGTCTGGTGACAGGGTAAGAAACCTGCGCAGCGACGCCGCGCTTGCCGCCATTCGGCCCAAATGGCGATCCTGGATCTCACAAATGGGTGCTCTACGCCATGGCGGCCCCGAGCCGCGCAATTGAAATCGGCGCCGTCGCTCAAGGAAAGCCGCCACTAGGGCTCAGGAGGCATGCGCGGCGAGACGCCAGCATCAACGTCGAAGCCGAGGTGCTACATGGCCACGCACAACATCTCCGAAGAATTGGGCCGCTCGGCAGAGCGCGGCAAAACATTGCCCGGCGCGAACGGACATGGCTTGACTTCGCAGCCATCTTCGACGGCAGGGTCACCAGCCAATCGTCGATCCAACTGCCAGCCGGACTTTTCACGCACATGCACCGGGCGGAACAGCGGAGAGTAATATGACAAGGCATCGCAAGCACCAGACGCGACCTTGGCACCGTCGTCGCCGCTTTCAAACGGGGCCTTGAGGATTTTTGCCAATGCGTGGCTCCTCAGAACCAAGGGGGAAGCAACGTTTACCATCTGGCAGTGGCCTTCCCTGCAACTACTTCCTCAGCATTTTCTCAGGGTGGAGGACTCAGGGGGAAATCCACATGGGCTTTTGCACCTCGAAAACCATGCCGTCTTGTGATTCACCGTTTGCAGATTCAGGCCTCGAGAATCAATCGAAACAGCATTTCAGATTCCACACTTTTCACTCCACCCAATTTCTGCGGGGGCAACCGCACCAAGCACAGAAAAAGCCAAGGCTGGCATCTGGGCGGGCCCATCTCCTTTGCGCAGATGGCGCGAGCAGAAAAGGAACTCAGGAGCACACAGTGTAAAGATGCCACTGCTGGGGGACCGACACGACCACCCTCGAACCCGCGATCACCGAGCAACAATGGTCAGATTTCCCACCGCACACCAGGCACTGCGGCCTGCTGGAAGAAGACCCCGACCTCCTCGACCTCCATTTCCCTTGGCCGACGACAAGCTTGGCGACCCACTCCGAAACCACAGCTGGGGGACTCGGAAGGGACCTCTTATCGAATATACCGACGACCAAGGAAACCTACGGGTCTATGCTGCGACAGATGGCGCCTGCTCACACCAAGCCCGTCCCCGCATGGCCAGGGCGGGCTTTGGTGTTCATTGCGGCCCAAACTTGCAGCTCAAATATTATGCCCGTGTGCGCGGTTTGGCACTGTCAGCGTAGCGGGCCGAAACGCTTGCTATAGCTGCTATGCTTCGCCTTGTCGTCACGGCAGAACGGCTGGTGCTTGTTTTGTCGACAACCAGGCGTTCGTTGACTGGTTCGGGGAAGACGGCCAGGCGGTCGTTGACGGGTTCGAAAACCTCCTCAAGGGAAAGTCACCGCAGCGTGTGCATGGGGCCCCTCCGTAGCCATTTTGGCTCAAGGGCCCCTGCCCCTGTCCCAGGCGCGCGCGGCGGCGCGCCCGGCGCTTCATGGGGAAGCGCACCCGGGGGCGCGGCGGGAGCGGGGCATGGCGTGCCCCGGAGGCGCTGGCCCAGCCTCGGGGCCACTCCCGCCAGGCTGGTGCTGGGGCTGGCTCGCCGTGCCGGTCCCAGCCGGCGCCGCCCTGGGGCCAGCGCCAAGTGCCTGGGCCAGCCTGGGCCAAGAAGGTGCGCCAGGGCCAGCGGCAGCAGCGGGGGGAGCGGCGCCGGCAGCAACGGCAGCAGCTTGGCAAGGCGGAGCGGCCGGCTTCGCGGAGCTCCCAGCGTGGCCGGGCGCGCCCCCCCGCGGCCGCGGGAGGATCGCAAGCGCCGAGTCGGTCGGCGCTCGGACCGCAGCCGCAGCCCGGCGCGCTGCAGGCGGAGCCGCCGCAGCTTGGCGACAGAGCCCCCTCCCGCGCCGCCACCGCCGCAACGGCGGAAGAGCGAGCGGGCGCTCTCACCGCCCAGGCCGGCGGCGAAGGGGGAGGCGTCAGGGGGCGAGGGGGAGGCGCCCAGCTATTACTCTCGGCGCCGGAGGAGGACGGGTCAGGGGCGGCGGGGGCAAGGCCGGCGGCCACCGCGCCAGCGGCCGCAGCGGCACCTCTGCTGGCGACAGCGGCGCCTCCTCCGACAGCGCCGGCTCCTGCGGAGGCAGCTCCGGCCGAGGGGGCCAGCTGCGTGGACGGCGGGGGCGGCAACGGCACAGACCGCGCCCAGCTCGTGGAAGCAGCCCTGCGGATCGCCGGGCTGCGGGGCTACCGGGCTACCGGGCTTCCGCTGTCCCCGACGGCATTCTGCTGCGGTGGACCTAAGACCCCGGGAACTGGCGCCCCACGGCTGCGGGAGTGGCGGCGCCTCCAGCGGGGGCGCGGCAGGTTGCGGCAGTGGGGGCCGCTTCGATGGTGGCCGGCGCCATGGCCGGCGCCGCCGCCGCGCGGACCCCCCAAGCAGCGCGGGCGGCAGCAGCGGCAGCGGCAGCAGCAGCGAGGCGCCTGGCCGCGCCATTCTGGCGCCCGCGCCCGCGCCTCCCGCGTCGCGGTGTCCCGCGAAGCCCGCTGCTCCGCGAGAGCCCTGGGCGGACGCGGACGATGAGGAAGAGCTCGAGGGGGCAGATGACCTCGCTTGCCCGCGAGCTCCCGCAACGGCCGCGGGGTCGGCCGGCCCGGCGTCGGCTTCGGGCTCGACGGCTGTGGCCACGCCGCCCCGGTCCCACCAGCCTGCCTCGGAGTCTGGGCGGGCAGGGAAGGTCCAGCAGTTGGTGGCGCTGTGGGAGGCCCCATGCGCGCGACGGCCGCTCGGTGTTTCTCCGGTGGAAGTGTCTCCTCCCGGACCGGTCGAGGTGATTCCTGCCGGACCCGAGGCCCGTGGCGGCGGGGCGAGGCGGAAGCGGCACGGCGGAGCGGCGCCCCCGCCCTCCGGGGCGGACCTTGCACCCCCCCCGGGCGGTGACGCTGTCGGGCTCCCCGTGGGCTCGCGCGATGCGGATCCGCCGCAGGTCGAGTTGGTTCCGGCCGCGACGGTGGCCAGCAGCGAGGTGACGCTGGCGCGCCTCTGCCTTCAGCGGTGGGGCGGCTGGTCCCCAGCCGCTGCGCCGCTGCGCTCCTCCCGGACGCGTCTCGGCCCGCCGTGGCTGAGCCGGATCCGGTCGAGGTGGGTCCCTCCGCGGCGGTCCAGCCCTCGGCCGCCGCACGGAGCCCGCCACTGCCGGCCGCCGACGCTCCCCCGTCGGCCGCGGCTGAGGCCGCGTCCCCTCCCGGCTCAGAGCCGGTGGAGGTGCCTCTCGAGGACGGCTGGCAGCCGGTCCCGGGGAGGCGATCAAGGCGCTGCTCAGGCTGGCCCCGCGCGGCGGCGGGCGGGCAGCAGGCGCCGGCCGATGAGGTCGCCCTGGAGCTCGCGCGCAACGAGCTCCTCGAGGCGATCCGCGGCCGTCTGGCGGGTGGCTGGGCCGCTGCGCGGGAGTTGGCGCCGCCGCTGGGTGTCACCTTGCGCGGCCGCAGCTTCCGGGGGGCGCGGATCGCGCTCCTCGACGCCGCTGCGGCGGTGGTCGTCCGCGACGCAGAGGCGGCCACAGAGAGGGGGCGGCTGCTGCTGGCAGCTCCCCCGGCTGCTGGGCTGCGGGCCAGGCCGGCCTAGGCCTGCCCGCGCCAGGGCCTCGCGCAGCCGCGGCACGCGGAGGCGCCGGCGGTGCCGCGACCGGGCCGTGAGGGGCTGGCGTTGCGCGCGCGGGCGCCCCCCCTTGGCCCTCCTCCCCTTATCCCCTCTCCCCCCCTCGCGTTCTCTCTGGTCGTTTTCGTCGTCGTTCTTCGTTCGTCCGTCGTCCGTCGTGCCGCTGGGCTCCTTCGTGCAGGTAAAAAAAGTGCGCATGGGGCCCCAAGCGGACCTGTGGCAGGGAATCCACCGTGCATTTCTGGCCAAACCCGACTTGTTCGAAGTCCGGAAGGTAGAATATCATCCGGGGTAGCAAGGCATCAACGATGGTCACACGACTCCTATCGCAGAAGCCTTCAACCATCACGTCGATGAGCTCGCCACCGCGGGGGCACCGCCTGCATTATCCCACAATGCTTGGCCGACGCTGCCACATGGCGACGCACATTTGCCGCTGTCTTCCATAGCACGGCCGTGGCCATTTGCGACCGGCGACACCAAACGCTCCCCCTGCCTCTCACAGGAGAGCTGGACATTCCAATTCTGAGCTCCCTACAATGACACGGTCCACCCCCATCGGACTACGGGGGCAGGACACAAGTGCACAAGGAGGACCACCTCCGCGCCACAACTGGACGACTTTGAAGGGGGGGACCTCGACCCCGTTGGGTTCGGGGCCTCGCCTGTTGGTGACGAAGCAACCGCCTTCCCTCCTGAGGGTCACTCGCCAAGCGAAGACGACTCCGTCGAAGACCACCGCGACGCGCGCAGCCTTAATCCTTCTTTCGGGCAGTCGACAACTGCCCAGGAGCGTCAAACCCCGGTGGTTACCCCATGCCCTCACTTCGGGTGCACGGTTTCCCCCGCGGCCTTAGGAGGAGACCCGAGGAGGAGGAGGAGGAGGAGGAGGAGGTGGAGGAGGTGGAGGAGAGGGAGGAGGAGGAGGAGGAGGAGGAGGAGGAGGAGCAAGAGGAGCAGGAGGAGGAGGACGGGTCGCCTAAGCCCTTCGGAGAAGCCCTCCAACTTCGGCTGGCCTCCCCCCACTCGGCCCACCAAGGTTCCGACTCGGGCGGCCGAGGGGCTGGGGACCAGGGCCGCCACGCCAGCGGTACCGCCCAACGCACGGACCGCAGGCAAGGGCTCACGCAACACCTCGCTGCGGCGAACAGTCAGCACCAGGGTGGATGGGCAGCCGCCCTCATCGCCAGTGCCCACGCGCCCCCACAAAGAGCGAAGCAGCTGGGGCATTCCTTCCGCCAGATGCAGGACGAGTCAGCCCCGCTGCTCCCGCAAGAGGCCTGGAGCGGCCTGCAGCGGGCCTTTCGGCTGGCGCTGGCCCTGGGGGCGCCCCTCCACGGCAACTTCCAAGCGCTTGTCGACACTCAACGGGTGGCACACCAGTGGCATCCCCCGTCTCTACCAAAGGTCTACGCGAACAAGTGGCGACTGATCCGTCGCCCGTTTTTGCTGGGCCGCTGCGGGGGGATGCCCCAAGGCGGTGCCTCTCCCTTCACAGGGCCCCATGGCGCGCATGCCAAAGCGTGCTGACAGCCGGAGTCTCTTGCAGTCGCGGGCGTGCAGACAGGATGTGTCACACCCTGATCACCACTGTCCGCCAATTTTTCCAGCCAGGGGTCCCCACAAACCGCGCCAGGGGGGAGGTCATCCCACCACCCTCGTGTCGCTTACGGCGCCTCCCGTCTTGTGAGGAAGGCCTGCGGGGCGCTTGTAGCCTGTGGGCCTGGACCTGCTGTCCGAAGTGCTGCCCTCTCCCTTTCCCTCCTCTTCCTACGCTTGCGCTCCCGAGCGCGGGGTTCACGAACTGGTCCGGGAGCGGCTCCATGTCGCTGGGATGCACCAGCGAGGGGCCGACCGTATCCATCGGCCGGTTGGCCTGCCGGGTGCACGCGGGAGAGGGAGAGGGAGAGAGAGAGGGAGAGAGAACAAAATTATCACAGTGCGACCCTACCTAGGAGTTGGAGCCCCTAGGAAAGCAGCATTAGTAGTAACAGTACTGCTAAGCTAAAGCTAAGCGAAAGCTAAACAACAATTAAGCTAAAGCTAAGCTAACGCTAAGCTAAAGCTAAATTAAAGCTAAGCTAAAGCTAAGCTAAACTTAAGCTAACGCTAAGCTAGAGCTAAGATAAAGCTAAGCTAAAGCTAAAATGAAGCTAACATGAAGCTAAGACAAAGCTAAGCTAAAGCTAAGCTGAAACTAAGCTGAAGCTAAGCTAAACATAAGCTGAAGCTAAGCTGAAGCTAAGCTGAAGCTAAGCTACAGCTAAGCTAAAACTAAGCTAAAGCTAAGCTAAAGCTAAGCTAACACTAAGTTGAAGCTAAGCTGAAGCTAAGCTAAAGCTAAGGTAATGCTAAGCTAAATCTAAGCTAAAGCAAAGCTAAGTATAAGCTAAATCTGAGCTAAAGCTAAGCTAACGCTAAGCTAAAGCTAAGCTAAAGCTAAGCTGAAGCTAAGCTAACGCTAAGCTAAAGCTAAGCTGAAGCTAAGCTAAAGCTAAGCTAAAGCTAAAGCTAAAGCTAAAGCTCCCAGGGGGCTGGGGGAACCGCTCCCAGGGGACCGGGGGAACCGCCCGGGGCGGGTTGCACTGCCCGGCCCCTTTAAGCTAAGACAGTAGGAACCCTTCTAGGCAGAGCCTAGGTAGGGAAAAGAGAGAGAGAGAGGGAGAAAGAGCAAGAAGATAGCTATAATGATAAAGATGCAAAGACGGATCGGGAGAGAGGAACAACGACGAACACAACAACAACAACTAATGAGAGAGGCCGTGCGTTTGCCAGAGGGCGTGTGGGGGGGGAGACAGGAAAGATCGGTGTGGGGAGAGAGGTGCAGGAGACACATACGATAAGAAACCTTGCCAGACGGAGCATGTGGGCACATTCTTTGACGCTCTCTTGTGGCCAAGGTGCCCTCGGGATTCTGTGGCTGCCTGGGCCGTCGGGGGATGAGAAGTGTCCGTTGGGCACCCGCTGGCAGGCAGATCTCTTGCTTGGTTCGCCTACTTGATAGGGGGGAGGGGAATGGGTGGGGGCGGGCCGGGGGCATGGGGAGGAGGGTGAGTGTTGAGCAGCGACCGACGGTCCCGGCATTCCTATAGTCCTACCACGAAATGTTCTGAGAACCCACAAATGTTCTAATAACAAAAACAACCGTTTCTTAGAACATTAACCCGATGTGATCCGCCGGCCCCCTTGTGGGGCCACCAGGCTGCGTGGCCCGTGATTCGCAGTTTCCTGTACCAGTTGTAGTTTCTAGTTTCCAGTGTTACAGTTCTGCTTCTTGCTGGTCACTGTAACTAGTTGACTTCCTGCTAGTTACTGTAACTAGTTGATTGACCGCGCGAGGGGGGGGAGGCCCAAACAAGACTTTTAGCACCCCCTGGGCGCGTTGTCTGAATTGCTGGGGGGGCTCGAAATCGACACCCCTCACGCAGATCCGCGGGGTCAGTGTCCGCGGGGTCAGGGTCCAAAAACACATGAGATTTGCCACATTTCTGAAATTCGGTGCCACCCCTCACGCAGATCCGCGGGGTCAGGGTCCAAAAACACATGAGATTTGCCAAATTTCTGACATTCGGTGCCACCCCTCACGCAGATCCGCGGGGTCAGGGTCCAAAAACACATGAGATTTGCCACATTTCTGAAATTCGGTGCCACCCCTCACGCAGATCCGCGGGGTCAGGGTCCAAAAACACAGGGATTTGCCACATTTCTGAAATTCGGTGCCACCCCTCACGCAGATCCGCGGGGTCAGGGTCCAAAAACACATGGGATTTGCCACATTTCTGAAATTCGGTGCCACCCCTCACGCAGATCCGCGGGGTCAGGGTCCAAAAACACATGGGATTTGCCACATTTCTGAAATTCGGCGCCACCCCTCACGCAGATCCGCGGGGTCAGGGTCCAAAAACACAGGGGATTTGCCACATTTCTGAAATTCGGTGCCACCCTTCACGCACATCCATCGCAAGGCGTGGTAACCCAAACTGCGAGAACTCCCTCGGCCCTTTAATCGCAAGGTGTGGTAACCAAGCCCGTAAACCATACACGTCTTACCAATCGCCAGGTGTGGTAACCCCTCTTGTGATCAGTTGGTTTTGCTGATTGCGAATCGGCTTCGCATGAAGTTTCGATACTGCTTCACGACAGCGCCAAAGCCTCATGACTTAGCTCTTCCATGGCCCATTCTCCGAGAGAGGGGGCCGGCGGCAGGGGGCGAAGCCCTTACGGATAAAACAAGACAGACTCCGCCAGAAATGTTCTAAGAACATTTCCTGGAACATACAAGAGGTTCTTAGAACATTGTTTGGTGGGGCTATAGGCGAGCGAGGACGCTTCGCCACTGCTTCAGGGGAACGGGTGGGGGCGGGCCGGGGGCACGGGGAGGAGGGTGAGTTGGAGGGCAGGGGGAGGGTGGGGACCCTACAGTGCCGTTTTTAATACGTGCCCCGCGTGCGGATCATGTATTACAAATAAAAGGATTTAGTCTTTTAAAAAATATGACTTTACGCATTGATTTATTAGTCAATTAATCATGTATTAAAACGGGCCGCAAGGGAGCTCTCGAGCGAAGTGAGCCCCACCTTCCCCCTCAGAAATCGTGGGGGGTAGGGGTAGGGCTCGCATGTGGCCCCCTACCAGAGTACCAGGTCGAAGAGGGACGGCGACCGTACCAGCCGAAGAGACGAACACTGCGGCAGCAAGGGAGTACGAAGCGGCAGCCCCGAGGGAGAGGGAGGCAGGGAGCGCCGGGGACTCCAAGGGACCCACGCCGCGGGCTCCTCCAGGAGGAGGAGGAGGAGGAGGAGGAGGAGGACGAGGAGGAGGAGGAGGAGGAGGGAGAGGGAGGAGGAGGGAGGATGAGGGAGGAGGAGGGAGGAGGAGGGAGGAGAAGGGAGGAGGAGGAGGAGGAGGAGGAGGCGGAGGAGGAGGAGGAGGCGGAGGAGGAGGAGGAGGAGGGAGCGGTCAGGGCTTCCTTGCGCGGGACTCCAGGGCCCCCCGCCGCGGGCTCCCCCGGGCGGGAGCACCCCTCGCCACCGCGGGCCTCGCCGCAGCGGCGCCGCGCGCGCTCGGGCCGAAACTGGCTGGAGCGAAAGTGCGGGCCGCATCGGCTGGTAGAGTCGGGGCGCTGACCGAAGGAACTCTAGAGAAGGAGCGAGGCCCCTTTTTCCCCAAAGTTGAACTTCGAATCCCCATGGAACACCTTCGGGAAACCTCGGGCAAACAGCAAAACAATCAAGGAACACCGAGCCCCTCGCCAACGAAAAGGGTACCTTCTTCAGCGCCCCGACTGTACGTGGCGGAGCACCAACGCCGTCTGCGTGCGCACGCCAAGTTTTTTCTGGTCGCGGCCGCGGCGGCCAAAGCTAGGTCGGGCTTCGGAAAAGCGAGCGGCGCACCGTCGGAGAAGAGGCGGAGACGGAGGGCCCGCCACGGGCAAGATGAGGAGGCGCGGGAGGTGCTCCATCCGCACGCCAAGACAAACCAATGTAAGAGCCCACGCACTAAAAGACCACCGTCGGCGCTGAGCCTGCAATGCGAATCGTCTGGATAATGGCGTCGAAGCGTGTCGCACGAGCTCGTCGGACGCTTCATAGTCCGCATGGAGCTTTCACAAAATATCGAGCGCGAAAGACCCATTCGCCACATGACGGGTTGCGGAAACGGTGAACCACAACCTTATAAGCACGTCTGCATCTATTCATACGGATATATATATATATATATGTATAAACATATATATATATATATATATATATATATATATATATATATGTTTATACATATACATATATATATATGTGTAGATGCGATATGTTGGAGAACGTGTGTTTGTTATTTCGCCACCTTGAGCCGGCCTTCCGCTGGCTTCCGCCGGCGGAGGCGGCCTCTTCTTACCTCCGCCACCCTCCGCTGGCCTCCCGCAGAAGAACAGATGCCAGTTCACTCGACTCCTCCGCAGACGAGGCCCTCTCTGGCCAGCCACCTGCCCAAGATGTCGTGTCACAGCTGCGACCGAGCGGCCTGTGCGACTGCCCCAGAAGAGGGGGCCGCTGCCAGGGCTGGGGCCCAGGGTACTGTCCAAGTTGACTGGGGAGGACACGCGCGAGGACACAAGACCCTTCCGAGAGCCACGTTGCCACAGAGATGCCGAGCCCACGGATCGCGAAGCACAGGACACAAGGGCGCCCTTGGTTTGGAAGGGTCGCCCCACTAATCGAACTCGACTGTGGCTCCTCGGAGCGACAGCCTGAGTAGCAGCGGGGAAGGGGGGGGGGGCGGCGGCGCCCTGGGGGGCGCTGGGAAGGCCTTCTTAGCGGACGCATGCGATACAGCATCTCGCTAGAAGAGAAGTTGGGGGACATTCTTCGTCGAGGGGTGGAATGTCCGAGGTGCCCCAGGGCTTCTGTGGGTCCCCAGGGCCTTCGGGGGAGAAGCACCCTTCGTAGGGGCATCTGCTGGCAGGTGCCCCACTTTTTTTTGTAGAAACACCTATTGGCCATGGGGGGGAACAGAAACGTCTCATTGGATTCACCAACTGTGCGGCAAGTTGTTGACGTGACGACCCTGGCGTTGGTTTCTGGCACCGCGTGGGTCATTCAACCTGGAACGGTCGGCGGCTCGTCGATCTCCGAATCGTTCCACATCGGCCGACTCTGGGTTTGGCCACTGGCGACGTTCAACCGTGAACGCCCGCGTTGGGACCATCGTCGCGTCAACGCGACACTGCCGCAATCGTGACGGGAGCACCGGAGATATTTGAGTCAAGGTCGCCTCGCCGCAGCTTCATCCCGAATGAATCCAGGAGCGGAGAGGAAGAAGGAGAACGAACACGAAGCGAGTGAGGAACCTGGTATGCATGAGGACGAAAGAGGGCAATCTCTATGATGAACGAGAACGGCGGGGATGCACTTGCACATGATGTACAAACTAAAAAGCGGCCGGCGAGATGAGAAGGCAGGGCAGAAGAAGCGCGGGGCAGGAGGGAGGAAACCACCATGTCGGAAAGAGGGCTGGGGGGCCGGGATGGGGGCTGGAGAGGCTCCGGGAACGCCGGGAGAGCGAGGGAAGCTTCCTCCTCCGAAACTTTCTTCTCAGCCTCGCCGTCTTCCCTGAATGCGTATCCTCCCCGCCCCCCTGCCTTCCTTCTCCTCCTCCGTCTCAGTCACCTCCTCCTCTTTCCTCCTGCGGCTCGTCTTTCTCATGCTCCTCATCTTCCATCTCCTCCTTGTCCTCCCCTCCCTCCCTTGCAATATTCCTCCTCATATGCTTCCGCATCCGCGTCGTCTCTTCTCTCTCCATCCGCGCCCCCCTTCTGATCCTCCTCCTCCTCCTCCTCCTCCTCCTTCCCCTGCTCCTCCTCCTCCTGCTCCTCCTGCTCCTTCTCCTCCTCCCCCTCCTCCCCCTCCCCCCCTCCTCCCTCCTCCTCCTCCCCTCTCCTCCTCCCTCCTCCTCCTCCTCCTCCTCCTCCTCCTCCTCCTCCTCCTCCCCCGTCTCCTCCTCCACCACAATTTATGTGCCCCTCCTGATTCTTCTGTGCTTCCTACTCCCTATCCTCCTCACTTGCCTCCAACTCCTTCTCCTCGCTGTGTTACGACGTGCTTGCCCTGCTCTGTATCAGTTTCCTCCTCCTCCTCCTCCTCCTCCTCCTCCTAAGCCTCCGCCGCCGCGCTCATCGCCCACCCGCCCGCCTTCCAACCCCCCCATTCTCGTCTTCCCAGCCCCCTTTCCTTCTCCCCCGCCTCCCCTCCTCCCCCGCCTCTCTCCTCCGCCTTCGGGCCTCGAGAAGGGCCACGAGGTTCCTCCTGCACCTGCTCCGCCTCCCGCTCCTGCTCCTCCCTTCCCTGGTGGGAACGGGGCGGGGGAGTTTAGGACGACTGCATGGCGTCCCAAAGGCATTCCGACCCCGCCTGGCGCCGCCAGTGCAAGTGCGGGCGGAGCGAGTCGACATGCAGGACGGAGGTGTGCCTCCGCATGGGCAAGGGAAGGCAGGTAAGGACGGTGGGTGAGGAGGAGGAGGAGGATGCAGGGGAGGGGGAGAAAGCGGTTGGGAAACGACACGGAGGAAGAAGAGAAAGAGGGGGATGAAGAAGGAACTCACAACATAGACCGAACTCTCGACCTTAGCTCAGCGTGCGTCGGCTCCGCCAGTTTGGAAGCCGAAACCCCGTCGGGGACGGCCTGGACATTCCAAGGAACCCTCACTCAATTCGGTACCCCGATAAACACACCAAACACACTGATACGGAGTAAGCAAATACGCGGTTCGGCAAAGATGCGCACGGGGGAGAGCTCGAGGATATGCCCTCTGTGCGGCCAACCGTTCGAGCTTGAAGACCTCGAAGAAGATGGGGCAGAGGCGCTACGCTGGCAAGTGGAACGGGAACACCGCACAACTCAAGATGAGCACCGTTTAGCCCACGATGAATGGGCAACCTAGAGATGAACGCCGTCAGACAGAAACACGACAACGCTTGTCACCCATACCATCGTCCACCGTCGCCGCGTCGATCCGGTCTCAGTCGTACAGCTCCAGAGGTGACTGGGTGGTGCCGTCGGCGAACTTGGGTTGATGCTGCGGCGGGGTCTGGACTCGGAGGCCATGACGTGCCGAAAAAGGAGGATGGGGAGGTTATGATTAGAAGATGGCGTGTCCCTGAGGTGGCTCAAGAGGAGGCACGGGAGCGACCGTAGCTTCGCGCAGGTTCGTGCACCGAGCTAGCACAGTGCCCTGTCCAACTCAGGTTCAGACGTTGTTGAGTTTCGGCACGGGGCCGTAGATGTTGAACTGTTTGCGTTTGAAGTCGCCGCCAAAGAAGATGCTGTCGAAGGAATCGGCGCGATGCCACAGTCGGATTCGGCGGTCTCGGCTTGGTGACCTTGGAGGACGAGCCATGATCAATGTTGAAGGTCACCACCAGCGGGGCCATCGAGGAAGAAGGACAGCAAGTAGAAGTTCCCGCTGGCACTATGGCCATCCGAGTCGAAGAAGGACCCGAAAACGACGAGCCGAGGGCCTCCTCAGACGTCGTTGCAGCAGGCATGCTGATGATATTCGCTGGCTTGGGGTTCTTGGTCATCCATCCTGCAGCTCTACATGGACACGAGAGCCAACGCCGCCGACAACGCGACCCACGTAGCCGGGCAGGTTTCGCACGTTCTTCAAGCCCTGGAGCGAAACAAGCGCGTCGAAAGAAAAGCCATGGAACGACAGGGTGGCGAGGCTATCCAGGGCCGATTGGTCCGTCGCGCGCTTATCCTTAGTCTTCTTCTTCTTCTTCTTCTCCCTCCTCCTCTCTGTCTCGCCCTAAGGGGGCGCTGCAACCGACAGTGCGCTAGCGGAGTGATCAGGTTCACCGCTATGCGCCTGAAGCTGAGGGGCAGGAAGCCGACACTCAACGTGCTGATCAGGTTCAGGGCGGGGCGGAGGGAGAAGGTGGCCAGGAACTCCAGCGAAACCACTTCCAGGATGAAGTGCAACAGCGCCTGGAATTGCAATAACACCTCCTGGAATTAATTCACCTTCACATGGATTCAGAGCCTGCCTGCCACCTGGGGCAAAACGATCAGGAGCTTGGATTGGGTACCGCTAGGGACGAGCATGAAAAAGAAGATGCACTGCACTTGGATCGAGCCGACCAACAGGTGGAAGGTGATTCAGAAGACGGATTCGTACTGGTTCCACAGGGTCGTAGACGATGAACTTCTCGGACTTCGCAGGGCGGTGTTTCCGACGCCGTGGAGCAGCGAACCCGAGGAACCTGCTGTGCTTGGCGTGGTTGGCTATCGAGTTTGAGCGCAACGTGTAGCACCTCAGCCATGATGAGGATCGCAACCCTGACATTGTCGCTGCCAAAGCCGCTCCTGCCGACGGGAATTACTCACCGTGACAGTGCACAACGACGAAATGAGCGACGATCTGGCGGCTGACTCACATGCACTGGACCGACAGGAGCGGCAGCCATGCCATACAGCGCGGGAACCGCCCCATGGACGTGCATGATGTCAGTGCAGGGTACTTCAGAATGACAGTGTAAAATATGAAGCAAACCAGGTCCGATCACCAGCACAGCATGGCAGTGGACATGGCAGGCGCGGGCCCAATCGATATGAAAATAGCTGCAACATGAAGTGCGCGGCGCATCTCGACAAGCCGAGGCTTGAGCCAAAATGGCCACGGTAAGAGGAGGCACGGGAATAAGAGGATGAGGAGGCGGAGAAGGCGGCAGGAGAGGCTCATGGAAAGGGAGAGGCGGAGGTTGCGGCGGAAGAGGAGGCACGGGAGGAAGAGGATGAGGAGGCGGAGGAGGCGGCGGAGGGGCTCTTGAAAGGCTCACGCAACCCGGCTCTCGACGGCTGCATACCCCCGAACAAGGCCGGCGGCAGGGCACGCCGCCTGCAGCGCCGACGTCGGGTGCTCTGCCCCGCCTGCTGTCGCCGCTCCTCCTCTTGCTGCTGATGCGCCTCCTCCTCCCCGTCCTCCTCTGTCGGCCCTCCTCCTCCTCCTCCTCCTTCTCCTCCTCCTCCTCCTCCTCCTCCTCCTCTTCCTCCTATCTCGCAAGCAAGCGCCATAGCAAACATGCGGCAAAGCCCAGGTGGGCATGCTTTAGCATCAGCACGCTTTCCGCCTACGAGCTGCTAACCGGTCACAGCCTGCAAGGCTGGGGCACGCATTCACAATAACGAGGTTTGCTTAAGAACCTGGACTCCGAAGCGGCATTGGTGTATGTCCACTTTCCTAACACGTGCATGAGAGAAGACGAGTAATCTCAGGGAGGAGCCAAATGGATGGGACATTGGCCCTGTGCCTCTTGGCTGGATGCTCCAACACCGTGGGTTTTCCTGCAAGCGCGCAGTCATATAGAAACATAATGGACAGTCCGAGCAGTGCATTGCCAAACGCTGTTGGGTCTTCCCGAGTGCTGAGGTTTTGAATGGCCCACGGTCGGGTCAGGTTGGGCTAAGGTCGGGGGGGGAGTCTTGACTCCAGGGCCGGCCTGGAACCCCGCAGCGGGCCAGTTTTGACAAGGGGGCCCGCCATGATCCAGCAAATGTGCCCATGTCTGAACATCCCCCTCCACCACTCGACAGCTTCAGGCGATGCCAGATCCCCCCACCTGTCGTCATTTGGCAAGGTCCAGTGAGAGCAGGATGACCCTGAACTCTCTGCTGCCCAAGTGCTGATCACGGCAGTCCAGAAGGTCCTGGGATTTGCGATGCCCGGAGCAGAACTGCAAAGAGCACAGGGTGTGCTCTTTCATCGGGGGACGAGGGTCGCTCGCAAGCATAGCTGGCTTGTCCCCAGCAGCGTTCTTCTCTGTCAACCTGTTGACGGTGACAATTGCAGGATGATTTTGCCCGTGGCAATAACTGGGCCCGTAGACCCTCTGCGCTGGGAAGTCAACGCGACTATCATGGTATCCTCAGGCTCTGTTTTCCGTCTGATCCTGCCTACTTTGCGACTGGGCCTCGATGACCTCTGCCTCTCGGCTACACGTAAGAGTGATCCTGGGTAGGAGTACCATCTGGTGCGCGGCTTCACGGGGGACGCGGGGTGGCCAAAGCTGGTCGCTCAAGCCGCTGCTGCCGCTTCGCGCTCAGCGATCGGGGGAGCCCTTTGGGCCCGCACCAAGGGTCACTCCAGCGAAAGGTCACTCTTACAAGGTTGCCGAGCCTCCTCCTCATCCTCCTCATCCTCCCCATTCGCAAGGCCCTCTGGGAGCCCGTGGCTGCCGGCGCGCGCTTTCCTGACACTCCGTGGTGCGGTCTCTGCTGCGACCGATCGAAACGACCCCTCTCCGCGACCGGACCCCCCAGGCCATCCTCACAACGGGCTCGGGGACACGCCCCGACCCCCCGAAAACCTGGAAAGGAGGCGAGGGAACAGACACCCCCCGCTTCGGAGCCGGGCGGATCGAGGCAACGGCAGCTCGAAATCAGTCCCTGGACCCCTCCCCCCGAGGAGGAGGAGGAGGAGGAGGAGGAGGAGGAGGAGGAGGAGGAGGAGGAGGAGGAAAAGGAGGAGGAGGAGGAGAGGAGGAGGAGGAGGAGGAGGAGGAGGAGGAGGAGGAGGAGGAGGAGGAGGAGGAGGAGGAGGAGGAGGAGAGGAGGAGGAGGAGGAGGAGGAGGAGGAGGAGGGGGGGGAAGCCTCCGCGGTTCGAGCCGCGTCTGGCCGTGGCGGCGAGGGCCCCTCCCGAAGGCCCTGGGAGCCCCCGCGGGCCCAGGCCTCCGCCTGCAGAGCCGCCCCGCTTGCTGCCTCCCCCGCTGCCCGCCGAGGGCGAGGGGTCGGAGGAGGAGGAGGACGAGGAGGAGGAGGAGGAGGAGGAGGAGGAGGAGGAGGAGGAGGAGGATAAGATGACGCGGAGGAGGACGAGGAGGAGGAGGAGGAGGAGGAGGGAGGAGGAGGAGGAGGATAAGATGACGAGGAGGAGGGGAGGAGGAGGAGGAGGAGGAGGAGGAGGACGAGGAGGAGGGGGGTGGGGGGAAGCTCCCGGCCCCTCGAGGGCGAGGCCCTCTGCGGAGCGCCCCGTGTCGCGAGAGAGGCGGCCCTGTCCACATCTGCGCCCCGGCGGCCCGGATCCGGTGGGCGCGAGCCCGTGGGCACGCGGCCGCACGGGTGCGTTCTGCGCGGGGCGCCCGCGAGTACGGCGCCCCGCGCCCACGGAGTGGCGGCCCAGGGGCCCAGCCCGCGAGGCCGTGGTGGATAGTCTGGGGACGATGTTTTGACAATCTTCGAGTGTCTCAGGGTATGTTTGACTATTTTCTATCTTTCGCCCAAACTCCCCCATGTAGGGGGACAGGCCCGACTTGACCCTACGAGCAGGTCCACAGGGACACCTTTTGGCCAGCATCTCGAGGGGAAGCGAACCGTGGCGACCAGAGCGACCCGCGATGCTCCAAAACAGGGGGGGGGAGGAGGCCTCTGGGTCGTGGGTCGTGGGGGCCCTGTTTCGATCGGTGGTTTACCC